AGGGGTGTGTGTTGAGTATCCATTATGACAGCCGAACAAACCTCAGAACCAGACCTTGGATAGTGCCTCCAGATGCCAAGTCTGGTGTAGACAACCAGATTTGGGGCCAGGAAAAGGGGCATGGAGACTGTGTGTGTGTGTGTGTGTGTGTGTGTGTGTGTGTGTGTGTTTATTTATGGCTCTGAGGATGAGTGAAAATTTATGGGACATTTGATCATAATTAAAAGCAGAATGCAGTTTAATTGGAAACAGTGGGGGGTGTTTTGCAAAAGGATTAATGGAACTGCAAACCAAAAATGTGCTTTAAGAGACGCAAGTGAGCAGGGCTGCTTCCGCACGTCAGCTCGCATAAGGGAGGAAACACTCAGTCCGGGACTCAGCCCTGGATGTGGCAGTGCCGAGAGCCACTCTGCTCTGCTCTCTTGCGTTACCGCCGTGGTCTCAGCCCTAACTGCTGCATGCTCCTAGAATACACCCTGTGGGGCTGGCTAACCTCGCCCTGAATGATCATGGAAGAGTCACACATGCATCCAATCATGTGAGCTAGAAAATGGGTGGCGAAGGCGCCAGCTGGGTCTGCTCTTGATGCAATAGCATGAGTGCTGCAGCACCTAAATCCACTGACCCAAGGTAAGATTCCCCACACTCAGCTGAACCTTCCTCATGTGGGCCAAGGACTTATCCCTGCCAACTGAGATAGCGTGAGGCGACATTCCCCGGCCTGGAGTCCTCCCAACATGGTGGACGAAGGCTGCTACCCTCCCCAGGAATCCAACCCTAATCCTTTAAAGCCCCCCAAATTTGTTGCCATCACGACACTTTGTGAACAGGGATTCCAGAGTTGAACTATGCACTCCATGAAGATGTCCTTCCTTCTTTCTGTCCCAAATCTCCCACCCATCAACTTGATGGGATGACCCCAGGTTCTAGGGGAAGGGAGGATAGCCTCTCCCTGTCAAACTTTCTCCACACCATGCACGCTTTTGAACACCTCTGTCGCATCTCTCCTTACTCCCCTTTTTCCTAAGATAAAGGGGAGCTGTTTCAGCCCCTCAATCATTTCTGTTGTTCTTGAACATTTTTCAAGTCTACAATATCTCCTTTGCTGCAGTGACAGCAACAATACACAGTATTTTAAGTATCATCATACTTAAAGAGGGGACTGGACAGTCTGGAAGGAAATGTAACTTTTCGCATGACGTTCCTTCAAGAGATGACCAGAGATTGCATAATACATTTAATCTGTATTTGCAATATTAAATGTTTGTGCACAGCTGTACCCCTCAGCATGGAAAACTCCAAACAAAATCCATTGAAAAATCTAAATGTGTAATGTGTAATTAAGCAATCAGTCACACAATTAATCAATTGGTGTATTTAACCCTAATGCCAGGCAGTTTTTGTTTTGTTTTGCTTTTTGTTTTTAATAATGGAGTTATCTTTGTAGGCCTGGTGTGATTTGAGTGCTGAAAAGACATGTGGTTTTCTGGCCCGGAAAAGGTGGGTGGCTCTAATCTCTGTTTGATGCACAAGGCCGTTGATAAATGGCCCGTTAACTATGTTTTCTCCCATGCGTGCTTAAATAAAGTCACAGAGAATCATCTCTTAACTGCTATGAATGTATCCGGCATTCCATTTCTCCACAGAGAAAGAGGCATAAAGCGGCTGCTAAACTGCTTAGCAGATAAAAGCTTGTTCACATGCATTTGTCCCTGTACAACCCAATGGTGAATTTATTGCAAATCAACAATTGCTTTGCCATTCTGTTGTTTGCAGAAGGCTTGCAAACAGATTGTGTTCCTGAGATTCACCATTTGGAGCAACACTTTGCCAACAGATTCCACAAACCATCCTGAGATCACATTTGTCTGAACAGAGCAAAATTAGACTCCTCTATTTCATTTCTAGGTGCATTCACATCGAAGCAAGGCCAGCTGGCATGAATAGAAACCTCACTGTTACCCTGACCATTAACAATTTGTGAGCAATTCATTTAAATGGAAGGCTTGTTTCCAGGTAAATGATGCAGGATCAGTGCTTATGATCCTTTTTATGCCAATGCCAGGACGCATCTTAATTTTACTGCACCAAAAGGAAAAAAAATCCTGCATCGGCATGAGAGGCTCAGGTCAACAAATGGAATCATCACCTCACCCCCTCACACACAGAGCCAACACAAAAACTACAAACCATCACATCGCTGCAGCACTTTCTTCTTTTAGGTGCTGGGTCTGTCACTTCCAGAAAGTCTTTGGCTGATATTGTGCTCTTTTGATGGCGTGGGATGCTAGGATCTGTGGTGTTCAGCTGAGGCTTCTACTTGGGTAACTTTGGCTGCTTTGTAGGGGTGGGGGAATTTTCTCTATCTTTCAAGATCTTATTCATTCTTGCTTGTGGTTTTCATTCACACTGTTGTGATATCTGCCTTGGCAGAGTGCAATGTGAAATACCCAAAAACATGATTTATTTTAGTGTCTCCCCACCATGTCATGATTCAAATGACTCCCCTTACACTCAATTCCTAGGTACAGAGCAAAATGTGGAGGAAGTGACAGAGGAAAGCTGAGAATCAAATGGAAACAAAGCCTTCATTTATCCATTCCCAGGGACGGCAAAAGTTTCTGGTGACTGTACTGTTACAGAGTGCATGAAGGATCAAAATTAGCTGCATCATCATGAGAAGGCTTACGGCGCCAGAAGAAAATGTTCCTGCAGAATTGGCCTTGTGACAACCACACACAGCCATATTTGATCGGCAACGTGGCACAATGACACTGTCTTGCTCGATGTGCTCCAAAACTAGTCAAACTTCTTTGTAAGAAAGAAGGACCACTCTTTTTCAAGTAAAACATGACCAAAGCAGCTGCCAAGGGCGGAAGTGAATCAACACGTGTAGACAAGAATTTATTTTAGAGTTCTGGAGAACATCTTTGCACTCTTAACATTCCTTTTTTATCACGGCAAAAGGCTGAACAAACTGCCCAGGTCGACCATTCTGCCATCTCCCTCAGACTGCCCACTGGGAGATCTCTACAGACAACATTTTGAGAAATCACTGCTGATTATCCAGACTCTATAAAGCCCAGAGATGAGGAAACAAAACCTATCAGAGCTCCAACAACTTTCAGATAAGCAACCGTTTATTTTCTACATGCCCATTTGTCCTGCAGATCAAAGGGAACTTCTTAGAACCAGAGATAAAAATGACTGCCCATGATTTATTAGCACCAGCACAGCAGCAAGGCCTTTGGCCTTTTTCCATTACGGTACTGAAGTCAGAGGCAAATCAATTCCATTTGCAAACTGAGCCTTCAGATATAAAACTTGACTCATATCATTGTGTATGATAACAAGCAAGTGTGTCTGTGTGGGTGCACATAACAGTCATTGTACAGGTGAGGTACAGGTGGGGCTTTTCTTCCACCCTTCCTTTTACACTCCTCACTGTAAGCTCAAAGCATGGATTTTGTATTTTAGATGGATTCAGCCGTTCAAACATGTACACAAACCAAGTGCTATTTCTCTGCTTGGCTGGCTGTTGACATTAAATACTCATGCAAAAACAAGAAGAAAGATTCGAGATAAGCCTGAATACACAGTTATTTCAAGTCCCTAGGAGAGACAAATCAATTTTGCCTTGCAGACCCGAACATTCTCTAAAAATGCGGCCCCTTGTAATAGTCAACACTGCAAAGGACTCCATTGTGGCTAGTAACTGTGTCAAGGCATTACATACCATGTTCTAAACTGTAGCTGTCTGAAACATGTGCCCTAAATGATAAATCATGAAGCTTCTTCATTAAATGTTTGCAACAACAGTACCATTTATCAATTAGAAATGCTAGATGTGATTAAGAACTCTTTCTCTCTCAAACTGGCAAGGAACTTAATTTAAAGCTTTGGTAAAAACAGTCAGAAAAGATGGGTTGTCTGATGTTATTGGTCCCTTAGTTTTGGATGGCTTTACTGCTTGGTCCCTATATTAAGAAACAGCTTAGAGAGGAAATTGGAACTCAAGACACACAAATGAAAATACAACCTTTATTTGACCATCTGAGATGTTGATCAATGCTTGTGGATTATGATATCTACCTCCCACCCAAATAAACAGCTATCCCAGTAGGCTCTCACTTCATCACTTACTCTCTCTAATCAAATGGCACCACTATTTATTTCCAAATTAAATATGTACTTGATAACAATCTGATTCAAGATGGATAGCTCTTTTGTAAAAATGAAAATAAACCATGAAACCCATGTAAAAGCACACTATGGTAATTATGAAGTTGGTGGCCAAACATTTAAAGGGATTGTGAGAAACATTCAGGAACCTGACTGTACTGCATGACAATGGATTTTTAGCAAAGTGATATCTGAAACACAGAATACTTATTGAAGATGTTTTATATTGCGCTTTGCCAAAATTGATTCCAGGGTGGTTTATGCATCTTTATGTGTTGCTAAGCAGTTTTTAGTGTTACTTTTGAAATGGAACAAGATATTAAAAGAAGACAGCTTCAGGGATGTCAGAACTGCAGCTATTAGAAAAACTCTCATGTAGAAGCACCTTCAGACCAAAACAGTCAAGTAAGCACTGCAAAAGCTGACTGTGACTTTCTTCTTTGCAGTGGAGAACTTTCACGTGACCAGTATAATAGTTAAACATGTAAGCATGTCTTAATGAAACATTAAAAATGCAAGATAAAGGGACAGTTCAGTCTTACTCAGCAAAAATTAAAAGAGTATTACATTCAACTATGCCCTTTGGATATGCAACTACCCAGTTTCCATTAACTGAAAGGCAAAACAATGAATCGCAGAAAATCAACTCTTTAACACATTCTCATGGAAGAAGTGGTTTGGGAGACCTGGCTGGGCTTTTTCCTCAAAGCCTCACAGGTATTCTTTCAGTGCCTGGGAGGATGCCATGGGTGATGTAAATTTTCAGCATCAAACAGCAATCAAGAGGAAATTAAAGCATGAGCTGGAAGGTGACTTACCGAATAACCTTTTCCGGAAAGCGACTGAGCAGAACTCTGTGGGAAGAAATGGAATGTCAGTGCCAGTAGTGAAAGACTTTCTACAAAACAGAGAACCGCCGTGCGTTTCCCTCCCCGTGCTGCTGTGAAGTGCCTTTTCCCTAATCACACCATCAAATCATGGGGTGCTGCTGGCAGTCCATCCTACGCCATAGAGAGAGAGGAATTTACATGCATGCCTTCTCAGGAGACGCCAAGCAAGCAGGTGTTCACAGCCCTAGGACACTGCCTGCTATGGAGTAAGACAATGAACCACCAAGCCTGGTGCTTATCTGCAGAGCTACTTCCAAGTTTCAGGACCTCATTAGGCAAGATGCTCACCTCCTCCTCCTCCTCACTGCTCCTCATATGCTGGCACCTTCTTCTCCAGGCCACATCCACAGAGTGGCCCGGAGAGCAAGCACAAGTAAGATGGGAGATGCTGCCCCTCTTCCGTTTTGCTACTACTTCGACCTTAGATATGGCCAGTGAAGACACAATGAAGCAAGAGGAGCAGGAAGTTCCAGGAGCAAAAATGGCCCCCCTTGTGCCAAACCTTCACAGAAATCTTGAGGATCTCCGACGACTAGCAGCAGCTCTGCAAAGCTTCAGGCAGATAAAGTCTTTCCTAAGCAACAGGAAGAGCACACTTCTGAATGGAAGGCATGTGTCCCACCACGGAGCTATGGCATCTCCCCAAGACAATTCGTGGTGTGCTGGTAGACTTGAGGTGTGGGAATTACTTGGAATATAATGAACTGCTTTATACTCGGTTAGTCCATGCAGCCCAGTCTTGTCTGACTGATTTTCCAAACTCTTTCCAGTCCTGTTAGCCGAAATTTAACAGGGAATCAAAAAAGGGACCTGGAACCTTCTACAGTTCAGAAGCTCTGCTGCAGCACCCCTGCTTGCAGAGACCCTTGGTTTGGTTCACTTTCCAAGAGTGGGATACTTAGAATTAAACAACTCTTAAAGAAATACTGCTCCCTGCAGTATTAGTTTTTACTTGAGCAAAACTATCAGTGGTTAACAAGAGCTAGAGTGAAAGGAAATGCCATGTCAAAATGGTTTATTGCGGGTTGGACCCAGATATTAAAGCAAACTCCAAAGTTAAATGCATATTCAATACAGGTTCCATTATGCAGCTGTTTACAAATCTACTAGTAATGCAAGAATCCCATTTCCTCCCTCCCGAGCTTGCTTTACGACATGGCTGAGTGCCAAAATGCTTCTATTGATTTGTGTCATATTCATTCATGCTGTTGAAATGGACAGGGTTTTCCGCCATGCAAAGAAGAAAGACAGTGAGCTAGTCTTGGACATGACAGCCTGCCAATCAACAGGGGTGGCAAAAGGCAACTGCTTACAGGAAGCTTCCGAATCCATTCTGATTGCCACTCAGCCTGGACCATGCTTTGAGTATGGAAGAGAGACCCTTGAAGTGCTGGCCATGCGTTTTGCTCTGGAGCTCAAGGAAAGTCCATGAGGGGGGAGCATGTGGATGCCGGCACAGAGTGGGCCAGGCACATGTTCTCTGTGGACATTCCAGAGCCTTCATCCACCAGATTCTGCAGAGGACACTGAAGACTCCGTGATGGGGGTGGGGCGTCAGGAGGCGGCAGAGGCCTTTGCAGCTCCATCAGGGTTGCTGCCTACAGGATCCCAGGCCACCCATCCTCAGAGCAGACATTCTGGGAAAGAGACAGGCGGGGCTCAAGGACAGGGCCAGGGAGAGCCATTGCCTAGCTGGGTCCCAGTCCCGGTCCCAGTCCCGAGGTGCTGGGAGACACAAGCTGCCCAGTTAGAGGGCCTGCATAGGTCTCACTGGCTGGCCTTCACCTGCAGGTGCCTCCCTGAGGTTGGTGCCTGCAGCATAACTGCAAGGGAAGGATCTGGGGAGAAGCTTCCAGTTTGGCTTCAGCACTCTTTCCATAAGCAGAGGCTGATCCTTCGGCTTGCTAGAGGGCTTTTAGAGCTGCATCGACTTGTAAGCTGCCAAGTGTCAAAGATCTGCATGTCAGAAGACAGCCCAGTGTATTGGCGCCGAAGGGCAAGAAAGAGAGAGGCAAGCTCGGGACAACTTGCCCTCAGTGTAAAACCAGCCTTCCCTAATATACCGTCACCTGCTCCAACACTCTACCTTCTATGAATTGAGGGCCAGATGTCTGCAACGGGAGCCTGCTCTACTTGTGCAAGCTTCCTGTGTTATGAAGAATAAGATTCTAAATTGCGCGGGGAGCTGGAGACAGTAGTGGGATACTCTTTGTTCCATTTCTGTCCCATCAAGGAAGGCAGCCTTGGGCTACAAGGCCCAATAAAATGAATGTGTATAAACCAGTTTTGCAAGTTCACCCAATTGCACACCCCACTGAAATCAATAGCACTTTCTTTTGTGCGTACGTTTAGACTGATGCAAGGCTTTAGTAAAAATGGAGGAGGTGGAGGTCAAAAATCCTGCCAATTTATGGCTATGTCCCTGTTGAGATATTAAATACAGTATGTGGAGTCCGTCAAAAGGTAGAATTGGCACAGTGCTTTGTAATATATGCAAGTTTTCTTTGGAAATTCTTTGGAATTTCCAGAGGTAAAAGTTTCCCATGAAGCCAAATATGTTTTCTATGTTTAAGATTAACATTTCCTGGAACTGAGCACTGGACACTTTTCTTTTGAGCAGAATGGGTTGCTGCCTACGCAAAGCTACTAAAAATTGGTGAGTTCTTCTAATCCAACTCTGTAAATCCTTTCCAACAGTCAGACTCCGAGAGAACAAACATTCCTTCCAGAAAACTTCTTCTAAGACATTGAGCACTCTGGACAAGTTTTGAAAAGGAAGTGCTTTTGCATTACTCAAAGTGCCACCAGCAACAATGAAGGCACAAAAAGAATAGAGAGAAAGAGAGAACACAAAAGAAAGAAGTGGCCTTATCAAGGATCATACTATGGTCCATCTAACCCAGTCCTAGCCACATTAACAGCAGTTGTCTTCTAGGGTTTCAGGCAGCAGGTTTTCCTATGCTACCTGGAGAGACCAGGAATAGAATCTGAATCTGAGAGGTTCTGTATGCAACTCCTGCACTGTACCGCTGAGCTCCAGCCCCTGACACAAAGATGAAAACGTCTTGTGCGCATTGAAGCCAACCCAAAGGGGTGTATGGGGAGGATTCTTGGCACAAAGGGAGCAGAACAAGCTGACAAGTGCAATCCAATTCTTGTATTCTTGGAAACAAGCCCTCTGTATTCAGTGGGACCCTACTTCTTGGTAAGTGTGCAGAATTTACTAGAAGGCAATGCATTCCAGTGTCTGTGGCCTAAAACTTGTAGTCTGCCAGAATTTGGAGAATCAGCAATTAAGGGGCACAGTGCAACTTCAGCCTCCTTTGCCAAAAGGGTTCTTGACTTTCCTGCCAGAAAAGGTGCCAGTTACGATTAACTGTGATGTACTGGCGCCGTCAGTGCTTCCGACAGCGCCAACCGTTCTTTTCATGTAGGTATTCAGACAAGCCATTAGATGCCTTGTGGTAATTTTACCAAGCCAGGCAGAATATGAACCACTGATGGTTCATTATCCCATTATACAGGCCCGTGAGATATCCCTCCACTCTTTAATTTTGGTCTGTCTTAAACACACACAAGTACACACCCACCCCACCCCTCAATGCCTTAAAAAACACACACTGACGTACAACCTTCCCTGCTTGGAAGGTAAAATGGATTCCATGCTGGTAATGTGAGAACTGTACTGCAAAAGGGCGGGGTGGAGTCAAAGCAGGCTTTTTGTGGGCTGCAGTCACACTATTTCACGTTTAATAAGACATAATGTGTGTATTTGCACTATGCACCTGAGAGACAGTGAAAGAAAACCCGTAGGGTATGTGATCTGGTGGGCAGAAGTAAGACCCACTAAAACCAGGTCAGTGCCTAGATTTTAGAAAATGTCCTTGCAGGAAAGAAACGGTGCCCAGGTTTCAACCACGTCAGTTTTCTGGTAGACAAGGGGATTTTATGGGGGCGGGGGGGAAGAGAGCTTCCCCAGCAGCTGGTATACATAGGTATGCGTCCTGTGATACCGGAGGTGGCAGACCATCATCAGGACTAGCACCTAGTATGGCCCAAGAATTTCTCCAATCTTCTTTTAAAGCCATTTGGATGGGTGGCCATCACTATGTCAGAGGAAAGTAAATTCTATAGTTTAATTATGTGTGTGCAAAGATGACCTTCCTTTTGTTTGTCCTAAATCTCCCACCCATCAGCTTCATGGGATGAGGCTGCCTTTTAGCCATTCATGGAATGTGAGCACAAATACCCAACTGTTGGAATTATGTCCCCACACCCAGTTCATAGCCGTGAGCTACCAAGTTGTGTGAACCGAACCCATGGTGAAGTGGCTCTTTGCTGACCATGATAGTTGCTCATTTTGCTGAATTTGTACCCCACCTGACCAGAAAATGGTGCTCAAGGCAACTTCACTGGTTCTTAAAACCCAGGTTTCCACACCCCTGGCTCGACTCAACCCCCCGAAGCACAAATAACTACAGTGCAGCTGAGCATCGAACCTTTGAACTGCTATTCTATTCCTTTCCTTATCGTCTCCCTTGCTTCCCTTCATCATCCCACGTTGACTTATGTGCTCTCTGGAGACGAGGATGCTCCATTAGTTTTACCTTTACCAAACCCTACTTAGGAAAATTTATTTAGATGTATTTCTCCTCCAGGAGGCGGCTGACAGCTAGCTACATTGGTACATGAAAAGTGTTCAGGTTTCCTGAGAGTCTGCTGAGGCCAAACCGTATGTCCAGAGTGGAAAATCGGCCTTTTCAATACTTAAGGGACCTAACAGTCCTTGTGCTAGACTGGAGTCTTGTAAAATTAAGGCACTGTTTCCTGGAGGGAGGGGCAGGCCAGTCAGTCATTCTCCACCCTACACTCCAGGAGCTTTCTTCTGACTATCCCATAGACACATGCAACCTCCCGCGTTCCTACCATGAAGTCAGATGACTGGTTAGATGCCTAGAATGTGT